GGAATGACCACTGTGTTTAGCCTGAAAGCAGTTTGCGGTGATCGGATAAAGAACGCTTTTACTCTCTCCCCTTCTCTCTATCTTTTTCATTCTCTCGTTTTGTATACCTCTTGCGCGTTTGCTAATGGGCTTGCAGAGTGGGGTAGAGGTGGCGGAGATGAGCTGCACACCTTTGTGCCTCCTGTTGTTCTAAATACCTCCCTTTTAGGTGGAAAACCGCATTTGAATTCAGAACTGCTCACAGCTGAAATGAAATGCTAATCTCACCCCACGCTTTATTCTTTCCTGTTCTCGCTGCTCTCTGGGTTCACCATATGCCGTAGCTATCGCAGAGTTCCAGGAAAGCATTTCGGTTCCAGAAGGAGCACAGTGTTCAGCCTTAAAACCAAAAATTAGCGATAATTCACATTAAATTGTGTCACGTCCAATTGTGTCCAACTATGTACGTAATTATACATGCTGATGTGTGTGTAATAAAGATTAGATACAGTTTTAATGCTGTTGTGTGCATTAAATCAGAGCTTGTGTGTGTGCTCTGGTGAGTGTGCGTCTGTGATAATGTTTCTATTACTGGTTTGCCTTCATAAATGTAAATGTGAAACATGCTGACCTTAATTTCAATTCTGTCTGCTGGAAAATCTCTCCACTTAGCCACTAACTAACTTACTGAGACAATAGAAGTAGACAGTGCCGACAAACCCTCATTATGCTGTTTTTTTTTGTTTTTGTTTTTTTCACCAGGATGGAAAGATTGTTGAATGAACGGATGAGTAGATGAATAAATAGATGATTTGATTTCGGCAATCAAATCAGTTGAAAGTGGGTGATGTTCTCATTTCGTTGAGATCCTAAAGTGTGGCGTGGGTGCCAAAATTCAATTTAACGTCCCATGAGAGAATGCGTGTGATTGGCTGATTACCGTCAGTGCAGTGACTATAATTTTCACAACCAAAATTGGTCTGAATGGGTCAAACTGGTAGAAATGGACAAAATAAAAACTAAACAATTAAATTAAACCACCTGGGAATCAGAATCTGACAGTGAAACATTTTTAAGCAAACAAATGTTAAATGAAAGATTCACCTCCATGTGTGTTATTATGCATTTAAAAAAAAACACGATCATGAGTGTCAATAACAACATACTTTTATGTTGGTTGGTTGGTTAATAAATAGTACAGTATAATAGGTCAAAATTCCAATCCAACCCCTATTGCAAATTAGGTTTATTGACAAAATGAACAAACTTTCAGCTGTTTGCAATGAACAAATCAAACAAAAGTAATGGAAAAAGCTCAACACAACAAACGCTTTAAGTGGTCTCCCCAAATTCAACTGCAACTTTTAGTGACTTCTACAGTCTCAGAATTATTCAACCTGCTGAATAGAATCCCTCACAACAGTACAAATTTGCAATAAAAGGTGTTGTCTCAAGCATGAGTCAACTAATCAAGGGCTTCATTAGTTGCAACAGGTGTGCTTGAGCTAGAACACATGAAATATCTGAACTGGTTAGGTTTGTTAAGTTTCACATTTAGAAAATTGGTTCAAAAAGTTAAGAGAATATATAATCGCCCTTCACAAACAAGAAACGTGATAGTATATATATAGCGAAGGCACTTAATGTTTCTAGTGACACAGTTGAAAGCATAGTTCGCAAGTTCAAAGTTAAAGGAACAGTGGTTACACTGCCTGAATGGAGCAGAAAAATGACTGCATCAACCGCTGCAACCAGATTTCTGAGAAGGCCGCAAGCAAGACTTGGTCACAACAGGCACTGAGGTTTCAGCTTGCACAGTAAGGCGTGTACTAAACTCATGTGGTTTCCTGGCCAGGACTCCACTACTGACCCAAAAGCGCAAGAAATGTACTCAGAATCATATAAATAAGCCACAGAAGTTTTAAGATTCTGTTCTGTTGAGCCATGAAACAAAACTGGAACTTTTCAGCTCTATGGATCAGAGGCATGTCTGAAGGAAGAAGAATGAAACAAAACAAAAACGAACACTCTGCCTACAGTTAAGCATGGCGATGGCTTGTGAAGCTCTGGGTCTACTTTGTGGCTGCTTTGGCACTGGAAACCTGCAGCATGTGGAAGGCAAGATGGATTCGTTTAAGTATCAGGAAATCTGGCATGCCGTCAGTGAGGAATCTGAAGCTTGGGCATCATTGGACCTTCCAACAGGACAATGAATTCTAAGCATACCTCAAATTCCACCAAGGCTTGGTTGCAGAAGAGGTCCTGGAAGATTATACAGTGGCATCCCAGTCACCTGACTTGAACCCAAAGAAAATCTATGGTGGAATTTGAAGAAGGCGGTTGCAGCACAAACCCAAGAATATTACTAAACTGGAGGCCATTGCTCATGAGGAATGGGCTAAGATTTCTCAGAGACGCTGCCAGAACCTGGTGTCAGTTATACATCTCATTTGCAGCAGGTCATAACAGCAAAAGGGTTTTCTACTAACTACTAAAGATGCATGAAAAGTTCAATTTTCAGTTGAATTTGGGGAAACCACTTTAATTGGTAATTTCAATTACGTTTGTTTGATTGATCATTGCAAACAGCTGAAAATCTGTAAAATTTGCCAATACACCTGATTTGAAAACGGGGGTTGAATAATTTTGATTACAACTGTACATCAAAAATGCATATTATAAAATTGTTTGCTTTGATGGTGTGAAGTAAATATTGTTCTATAAGCCTGTAACCAGAAAGCTGCATAATCATTACAACGGGTAAAATTAAAAATTCTCAACCGCAGCTAGGGGACTTTGCTTCCGCATTTCAGAAGACCACCACTTTCTACTGAGTTGTTCCAACTGTAAAATGCGCTTAAGTTGATCTAAAGAAATTCTAAAGCATGCAGGGAATTTTCACTGGCTCTAACCGTGGGGTGGTTAGAGTCAAATGAAAGTTGTCTTGCTCCGTTCACAGCCATACAAAGTGTTATTCATTTGAATGCTCTTATGAACAGACTAAAAATCTGTCTGTTTGTTAGTTGTATATCTGGAATAAAAATTTACCCCCAACCGTTTGACTGCATCCCATAAGCATCCCAAAAAGAAAGAATACCCATAGACTCTACCTACCTTCCTCTGTGTGTGTGTATTCAGGTTTCTAAATGATATCTTCTGCATGCTCAGATGCTCCTGAGCGGGTGGCGACACCCCCAGAGGAAGCTGATTGACAGCTTGGCAGTGATAGCAGGAGTGATGCTGGGAGTAGAGAAAGTGAGGTAAAAGAGAAAGAATGGTAAAAGAGAAATAATAAGATGATTCATATAGACAATAATTGTGTGGATTTATACGTACAGTTGGACCTAAATCTGAAGTTTTTTTTTTTGTTTGTTTTTTTGTAAGGAGTGAAGTATTTTGTGATTTGCTTGGGATTGGCTTTAAATCCACAAACACAAATCAACAAAACGTGATTTTCATGATGCACTGATCTTTTTCAACGCATTCTCATCCTTTAACGTCATATAGAGCGCTATATGACAAAACGGCGCTATACTACGCTAAAGGCACCCGTTATCGTTAATATAACACGTGCTGTGAGGGCTAAGTTTAGGTGTGGGGTAGGGTGTACGTGTCATATTCACGCTAAAGGATTTATAACGTCTTGGGTTCGCGTGTTATATTAACGATAACGGGTGCCATGTGCGTAGTATAGCGCCGTTTTGTCATATAGCGCTCTATATGACGTTAAAGGATGAGAACGGGCTGTCTTTTTCCCTGTTTTGTGATCCACACTGTTAAAATGATATTTTAAAGAAAAAGAATTTAGGAAGATCATGCATTCTTTTGTTTTTGCAATCTTTCAAATGTTCTATATAGATTTTGATTTCGAAAATGATGCGAGATATAGATCCCTTTAAAGTTTGGTAGAACCAAGTTTTTATGCTAAAAACACAACACACGTGGCAGTGGTCTATATACATACATTTTTAAAAAGTTGAACTACTAACTCAATGGTCAAACACAGTGGTCAAACACATCCGTCTAGCGCATGTTTACACAGAAAACTGTGTTACACAAAAATGTGTTCTTTGTGAACATCACAGCATCGCTGTAAAATCTTGCTATCCAATGAGCGTGATCTGATTTTAAATTCTCTTTGGTTTTGCATAAAATGAGTATCTTGTGGTCCTTACAATTATTTGAGCAACTGTTTGACGGTAGTGAATTTACAATATCAAAAGGATATTATTACAATTTTAAGAGTGTAAATGACATGAGAAATTAACATGAGAAATAAATGAGAAATTTGTAGTATTTGTTAAGCTTATTGAAATGCAGTGGATTAATTGCCCTGGATTTGTATTGTCAGTGCTACTAGACAGGGACGTATGCAGCATAAGCCTATAAACGCAGAAGTCATTAACACATTGAAGCAAACAAAACAAAGCACAATCTGTTGTTCAACTAATGGAGTTTTCAGGAGAAAATAAGGGGAGCTGTTTTGCTCTGATAAATGTCTTGTGTGCAACACTATACATCAACACTAATTCTAGAAGAAAATATAGGCTAATTCAATTAAAGTTCAATGAGGATTTACTTTTTTAAACCGATGAAATGAACCTGTCACAAGTGCAAAAATAAATCCTGCTTGATTTGCCATGCGAGTTCAGCTCAGTCAAATGCAGAAAAACAAGAATTGGATCAATATTTTTAACTTTGACAGAGTCGGATAAGAGCTTAAGTTTTACTTTCACCAGTTTTATCCAGTTTTGGATGTGAGAAAAGATAGAGACAGGATTCAAGAGCATTCCAAACACAGTGATGTGCGTCAGTGGGTGGAAATAATGAATGCAACTCGACTGTCTTCACAACACTAAAGTTTTCTATTGAAAAGTAGTCTTAAAAAAAGAGTGGTGCATCTTTCTGAACCCCTGTGTTCCACAATACTTCAAGTTCTCGCTGTAACTCTGACTGTAATGTATGTGAAGCTCTAAAACACGTGTCATCTTTGTTATGCTGTTCATATCCACTTTTCACAGGTGCCAAAGAGGTGAATGCCAGTGGCAAGACATTCACAGTGAAGAGTTCCCTGCGGCTCCAGGTGGACCGGCAGGATGACGGTGTGGCCTACACTTGTAGAGTGGACCACGTGGCCCTGACTGCCACCCACGAAGACACTACGCAGGTCTTGGAGGTCCACTGTGAGTATAGCTGGGTCCCAACTCAAGCCAGCGTCCCATGATGCTCACATCCATATTCATTACTTAAACATACTGTATACCTTCAAGAGTTAGTTCACCCAGAAATTAAATTTCAGTCATCATTTACTCACCTTCTTGTTGTTTCAAACCCATAAGACTTTTGTTCATCTTTGGAACTCAAATGATGATTAATTAAATATCTGAGATATTTCTGACCCTCCATTGACAGTATATGCAACTACCCCTTTGATGCTTCAACAAGTTCATAAAGAGATAATCCACATGAATCAAGCAGTTTAATCCTAAATTTCTGAAGAGACACAATCACTTTATATGATGAACAAATTTAATTTAGGCTTTTATTCACATGTAAACATTGATCAGGAAACATAAACCAAAGCTCAACAGTATTTGCTTGCACGAAAACAAACCTCATTGGTTCTTGCAGAAGTTCAGACGTGCTGCGTGCGACGAGAATGAACCTCATTGGTTCTCACATGTCAAGCAAGCGTGATTGAGCGTCTGTTTACCACAATGTTTAAATGTGACTATAAGCCCAAATTAAACATGAGGGTGAGTGAATGATGACCCCATAAAAATGCTTAATGGATGAAATCTTATGTTGACATTTCTATTGAAATTTTATGTTAAAAATATATTTGTTTAGGGTTATATTTAAACTTTTAGGAGTAATTGTATATGTTATCTAAGCTAAGAGACATACTAAAAGCCATAAAACACTTAATTTTGATTACATTAAACGTTAACTAATTAAAGTTGCAACTTTTAAAACTAGATATATTGCGGTAAAGTAAAAACTATTCACAGTGATTACAGTGATTACCAGTTTTTCTTTGAAGCTTTGACATTTTATCAATCTAGTGGGACGCAGTGGAGCATTTGAGCTGAGTAACGTCACACCACTTGCCTTTTGATCTTCATAGAGTTTCATTCTTCCGCTTAGATGCTGTCTGAAACAATATTTCTTTGTTCGTCTCTCTGTCTCTGTTATAGATGCTCCCATTGTAAACATCATACACTCCGCCACCCTCCCGCAGGAGGGACAGTACCTGAAACTGGAATGTGTACCAAAAGGAAACCCCTCGTAAGCATCCACAATTTATCAGCATCTCGCTGAATTGTAATGTTTGCAAAGAGCTTTGGGAAGATGCGTTGCCATATCTACTGCACCAAGGAGAAATTGCCCTGTGGGCAGGCCTACAGCTAGCGGCTTAACCACATGCTTGCATTAATGTGATGACTCATAAATTTGATTCTGTTGAAATTAAACAGCTATGAATAAATAACCATAAATTCACATGGAAAACAAACATCAAGAAGCTCTTATCTATTGGTACAATAGAAATAAGGCCAATACAATAATAATTTCCAAACAATTGGGTTGACAAATCTTTGATAAACTTTGATAAAACAGATAGCTTAGAACTGTTCTATGTTTGAACCTATAGTTGAAAACTTTAAAACTCTCTCTAAGATTTGTGTATTCTCAAAGCCATTGCTGTAGCTTTGGGGTGTTGTTTTTCATTGATTGTAGCATTAAAGAGGTCATATCATAAAAAAAAAATCCAATTTTCCTTGATCTTTTGAAAAAAGTCTTCATTGTACTAGGAAAACGTATAACTTTCAGAACTCAAAACTGTTGTTGACACTTAAAGAAATAGTTCACCCAAAAATGAAAATTCTGTAAAGAAAAATCTTTACTCACCTTCAAGTTGTTCCAAACCTGTATACATCTCTTTGTACTGTTGAACACAAAGATATTTTAAAGAATGTGGGAAACTGAACAGTTCTGGGGCACCATTGACTTCCATAGTATAAATTTGTTAAGTGCACCAAAGTGGCCTGGATACAAACTTTCTTCAAAATATCTTCTTTTGTGTTCAGCAGAACAAAGAAATGTATACAGGTTTGGAATAACTTAAAGGTGGGTAAATGATGACAGAATTTTCATTTTTGGGTGAACTATCTCTTGCCTGTTCTGTATTTCCATATACTCTATTCTGATATCAGATAAATACATTTGAATACATGCAAAGACATGACCACTCATATTTATGTCCAAGAACGCCTATTGGGTGTTCAGATACCCAGTCACAGTGATGTAAGAATGAGGAGCGAGAATAGATGCTATCATGTCTGACAAACCTAATTTGGTGTTTCTGACTGTGTGTAGCATCTACAGCTCTGCAGATCATAAAGTGCAAAATGTGGTTATCGATTATATTAAAAAAGCTATAATTCTTCTTTACATTAGAAGCTAAATATCAATGTTTCACCAGGCCAGACCCAGTACTCTGGACTAAAGACGGCGGAGACCTGCCAGACCTGGATCATATGATTGTCGAAGGAAGAGAACTCACCTTCACGTCACTGAACAAAACCGATAACGGCACCTACCGCTGTGAAGCCACCAATCACCTCGGAACCAGTCATGCTGAATATAAGCTGGTCATTTATGGTGAGTGACAGAAAAGCATCTGAGTAACATGTTAAGCAAGCACAGCCCTACCCAGAAAGCATCTGTATAGCTTATCAAACCTACGTTTCTACCCTGCTAGTAACTGTCATTTTTACAGTGAAGCACTTGAAAGCTGAAATGCCTTATTAATTATTGCTGGCTCAATGGATCAACCATATCTAGCTTAAAGGGATTGTTTAGCCAAAAATGAAAATTCATAATTTACTCATTTACTCATCCTAATGTTTTTACAAACTCATGTGACTTTTTATTGTGTAGAACACAAAACGAGATATTTTTAACAATGTCAGTTGTTTTTTTTGTTCATATTATGGAAATCAATGGAACCCCAAACTTTTTGTCGCCATATTCTATGTAGTCCTTGTCAGTGTTGTGCAAGTTACTTCCAAACTGTAATACATTAGGTATTACTTGTTACTGTTATTTAAAAGTAATTCATTACCTTACAATATTACTGTCCCAGAATTGTAATGCGTTACACTACTCATGTATTACTTTTGAGTTACTTTCACCAAAATAACTAAGTAGAACTTAACTTTTGGGCTGTAACGATATGCAATATGAAACCGAAATCGCGATTCGCCACACGACTCAGATCCACGAACCTACAGAATCGCGACACACCTCTTCCAACTCCAGCGTTATTCTCCTTACCGTCCATATCCAATGCTGCCTTATCTTTAAATTAGGCTATTAGTATTATTTGAAGTTAACATTATAAAATACGTAGACCTACACCACAAAACTAGTTGAGGATAAATTATTTAAAATTGGGGAAGTCCAGCATTATGGACATGATGACATTTGCAGTCAAAACTTGAAATAAAAATTCTCAGAAAATACATGTATTGAAACGTATATAGGCTACTTCCTTAAAGGACTCCAGACATTAGACAAATATCAGTCTATGTTTTATTTTTAATATTAGGGAAAAGACACACATTCATGCGTGACAAAAAAATAGGAGGCAAAATCGATTTTTTGTAATTCTGTTAATTACACTGCGCAAATCGGATGAGGAAGGGTTGGCTCTCCAGTCTCCAAAGAACTTAAAATATTCATTTTATTTTAGTTTTCGTGTTCGCATTTATAAGGGAAAAACAATGTTACAGACGCGACCGCACTGAACTGGCACTAAAAGACTGCTTTAAAACTTTCACATAGTCTGTTGCCTTTAAGAAGTAAAAGCAGACAATACACTGTAATACAACTGTAATACAAGCCTCACTGAACATGTAACGAGTAAAATATTACTGAAAATTGATTAGTAATGCCTTACACTACTGCGTTACAGCAAAAAGTAATATGTTACTGTAATGTATTACTTTTGTAATGCGTTACTCCCAACACTGGTCCTTGTATAAGAAAGTTTATTTTATTTTACAATACCTTTATGACGTTTATGGAACTTGAACTTTTTGGGTCTCAATGACTTTTATGATATGGGAAAAAGTTATTAATAGCATGCATAAATAATGATAGAATTTTCAGTTTAAAATGAAATATTCCTTTAATTTAGTGATAATCTTTCAAAGATGCAATCACCTCTGTATCATAAATATTGCACAAATGTACTGTACATATGGTGCCAGGGGCGTCGAACTAGGGGTAAAACCAGTACTGATTATCAGGGCCCCAAGGGGAGAGAGGGCCCTTGAAAAGTCTGGAATATATTTTATTTTACCTGGATATTTTCATCTAATTAAATTTCATAATGAATGTCAGATTAAATGTAAAGTTAGTGTATTGGCTGAATAACTAGTAAAAACTAGACGATCTAAGGTCTCACGGTTGAGGAACATGGGGGGCCCATCAGGACTGCCAGTGCATAGGGCCTGGGATCTTGTAGCCTCTGTATGCAGCAACCCACTTTTCTCTGTCGTTCTCTAGCCATGTTTCCATCCACTTGTCAATCGAATTTTCTGAAATTCGGTTAAAAAACTCATGCGGATAAAGCTGGTGAAAGTGTGTTTCCATCCAACGGCTTTAAAGCGAATAAAAACCTGTACGTAATGACGTCACATGCTGTTTTGCGATCAAATTGGTATATCGAATTGATTTGAGACATTTTAAGGTGTTTCCATTTATTTTCGCACTGAATCGAACAACATTCAAGCTAACTTTTGCGAACAAAGTTTGGATCGCGCCAGCTACCAAAAATGATCAATATTTCACAAGTTGAAGTCTAATAATGCTTATGTGCCAGCTGATAGCGACATATGAATGGGATAATGTATGCGAGGCGGTTGTTGGTTGTATTCGCTATAACCTATTCGCTTATTAGCCTACATATAAATCAACCAAATAAATAAATAATTTGACACAAAATATTGACTTAAAAACGAGTTTATTGATTTAAAAACGAGTATTGCTTCTGCTAAAGAAAATAGTCTGTTCCGTCTCTGAACTGCGTCCATGGCAACGGTGTGTTATACTAGCAGCGCCGCAGTCTGTTAACTAGAAATAACAGACCACATTCTACATTACAATTCAACCAAGCCACGTAAAAACAAGCAAAACTAACCTAAGAAAACAGCGACGCTATAAACATTGCTATGATGATGACGATGCACGTATGCCCGACGACAGCGGAGGTGACTGTGGTTTGGGAATGACAGCGCTCCATCAGTTCTGGGGGATCGTGGTTCACGGAAACCCTTTGGTTGAAGCATCTTTTTGCTTTGTCCACTTACATCTGTCTTTGTTGACATCCGCCATGTGTGCGCAAACAGACTGGCCGGAAATGAACTCGTCTTCTGACGTGTTGCAACCATGAAAGGGCATAAAACTTAATCGCAAGTCATTATTTATTCGGCAAATAACGTTTCCATCAGCTTTTATCGCATTAGCCGTATATATCGATCAAGAGAAAATCCGATGAGACCGAACGTATTTCATTTGAGTCGATTTTCATGAAATTTCATCGAATTTTACTGTTTCCAAAAGGCATTTTTCATTCGATATCACTTAATTCGGATAAAAACGTGTCGATGGAAACATGGCTTCTGACTTCACTTAATAAAATGAGTTTCAAACACTTAGCACGACAGTAAAGCATGATGGGTCTCGATACAGCCTGAGGTTCAGAGGCTACACTGCGTCCACATCTGCCATCTCTTTCATCAGAGGCAGCTGTGCGGAAACGCTCAGAGGCTAAGTACGGATATGACTGTGAGCATCAAGCGGAAGAGTCTCCCCTGCCTTCTTGACACTAAACCCCTCCAGTCCGGAAAATTCTTCCTCGGGCTCTCCATTTCAGAAGTTACTTTTCTCTCACTTTCTCCTTCTACCTCGACTTTTGTATCCTCCCACGGGCCATCTTAAGAAGATTTAATTAGCCGTTATGGTGCAGTGTAGGGGTCCAGTCAGTGGCTCATTGAAATGTCAGGACACTATAACAACAAGGAGAACCAAAGCTTTTAATGATGTTGATACTATAAAACTGACACCTTCTCTGTAGGAATAAAAAGCTAATTGGGTGTCACAAATATAAAGCACCATGTCTGAATTCATTACTGTCTTTTTAAATGGCAAAACATGATACCATCCTTCCATCAGTGATTAGCACAAAGCCCGGAGCAATATAATGGTCACTGTCCTTCATCAGATCACCTATCTTGTATTGTGCCAATTCCAAATGCAATATTACCTGTTCAATATGCAGCCGAATGCTTGATATTCCAGACAGAGGGCTGCCATGTCAGTGGGGGTACTTGAGAGGTAGGTATAGTCAATATTATTATTCAAATCTTACCCTTAATTAAAATTGGGCCATGACATTTAAATAAGATATTAGAGCGGGCCAATAGTATCTAGACTGTTTGAACAGGTTTGAACACTTTAATAATTATCTATATCCGCCAACTAAAAAAATCAAGAACCAAAATCTCATGATATGCTATTTCCACAAGCTGTACTTTTAAAATGAGAGCAATTTCTGTTATAAAGTTAGGTTTTTTTTGAAGGTGAAATTATGCAGTACTCGTTCATCAAACACTTCCACTGTCTATCATTGGTTGTTTAAACAAATAGCCACTCCCCAAACTCACCCTATTGGTTGATTTAGTGTTGCTTTGTTGGGCTGGGCAGATGATCAAATAAACAAAGCAATTTTTTGAAAGCAACAGAGACTATATTTATACTTTTTGGAGAAATCAGCCAATAAATGATTTACTTGCAGTCTCTGTTTTATTTTATTTTTTTAAATCCACAACATAACTCAAGCACTTCAACCATACAGAGAAATGCTTACAACCCTGCCATCTCTTAGATATTATTTTAGTCGTAATTTTTCTAGCAATAGAATCTTGTGCCAAATTACTTGCTCTTGAGAAATTATCAGCTACCGTGTGTATATGTTGAAGCTGAACATGTACCTAGCAGATCATTTCACAAGAGCGAGTAATTTTGCACCAGAGTTTATTATTAGAATGATAACGACTTGAATAATATCTTTTCACATTTCTCTGGATTGTTGAAGTGTTTCTCCATGTCCCTGGGCAGGATACTGTTATGTGCTAATTAACTTTCAGCGGGGGGTGGGGGGATGTTTTGTTTGTTCATTAGTAAATGAATATTAAATTAATGTTATTTGGTCCTTTAAAAAAAAAAAAAAAAAAACTCCCAAGGCTCCCAAGCTAACAGCAGTGGTGTTTGATAAGGCAAAACTTTTACTATTGCTCTTACTTAAAAAATATTTTCATGATTTGTAATCACAACATTTTTTCTTTTGTCAAATCGACTTAAATAATTTATGTAGTTCAGATAACATAATATTTCTGATGTTTAAATCAATCTCCTTCATTGTATTATTTCCAGTTCAAATGAACTTAAAATTTTAAGGCAACCAGGTTACTTTTTTAAGTGAAACCAACAATTTTTTTTTTTTTTTTTAACAGTGGGCTTTTGTTGATATTCCTAACCTATACATATGAACTAACCCTTTTCAATACTGAAAGAAATAAAGTTTGATGTGTAAGTCTTCGTGCACCATTTATGCAACAAATGTGAATAATACCTGTGTGATTGGACAATAAATCAGCTGAAACAAGTCTCGGTAACAGGGCTGTGCATAAGACTGACATGACACTGTCATAAACATGACATAACACCTGTCATGAACATGAAGGAGTCTTTATGACAAAAATAAAGACAAAAATGTCTTTGTTATGACAACTTGACATTAACCATGACAAAAAATGTCTTTGTTATGACAACTTGTCATTAAATTAACTAAGAAATTATAACCTGTCTACCTGTCACAAACATGTCATAACAGGTCTAATTATCAAACTTAAAGAAGTTATTTAGCTTTGTGTTAACATTACATTACCCTGTTGTGGTTGGTTTTAACTTTGGTTGTCATGATTATAACTGTGACATGAATATTTTACTTGTCCTCAAGTAAAGTGGAACACATTGTACAAAGATGTCATTAAGGGTTATTACACTGTCAAATGCTTGAACAACAGTGTCATTAATTTATCCCTTTACCTCAGGTAAAGTGGAACACGTTGGACTAGTTATGATTTCTTTGTCAAGTTGTCATAACAAAGAAATGTTTGTCTTGGTTTATGTCAAGTTGTCATAATCAAGACATTTCTGTCTTTATTAATGTCAAGTTGTCATAACAAAGACATTTTAAACAATAAACTGTCAGAATTTACTGAATTACACTTAATGACAACAGTCATAAACATTCATAAAGACTCCTTCATGTTCATGACAGGTGTTATGTCATGTTTATGACATTGTCATGTCAGTCTTATGCACACCCCTTCAAATAAAGTGTTACCCAAATCTCATAGGAAGCCAATAAGTAATGACAATGCTCTAGCACTCATGACACCTTGGCAACGGCCTGCCTTGAGTTTCACATGGCTCAACATCACTTACATTTTCCTCAGACAATGCACAAGTCTAGCCATGAGCTGCTGTTTACTAATGTCTGCCCTGGAACCTGTGCACTATAATTTATAGTTAGCCAGAGCTGGTGGCTGCTATGCAATTTTGAGCTACTGTATTAGTTAGATTACTCTGCTTGTCTGCTTGAGTCCATTAGTATGAAGGCAGACTGGTGATTTAGCTTATCAACTTGAGCCCAAAACTCCTCTCCTGTCCTTATCACTCCACTAAATATGCCTTATGCATGCAAAACAGCTGCCAGCATTACACTGTTTGTTGAACCAGTCACATTCAAGAGGTTTAAATGATACCTGCTGTTTTAAAAGCATAAATCACTCAAATTCAAATGCACCTTGAAATTATTTTTTTTATCATAGGTACTCTTAATATTTGAGTGACGGAATCTAAAATAAAAATCCAGAAAGTCACATTGTATGATTTTTTTTTTTTTTTTTGCCTTTTATTGGATGACAAAAGTATTTTATCACCTACAGTACCAACCAGTATGAATTCCACTCTCACAGACCTGTTAGTGTTTCTTTAAGAAGCTCTCCTGTTGGACAGTTGTCTTTTATACAGGTAACAGGTCAAACGGGTGCAGTTACTACAGGTAATGAGTGGAGAACAGGAGGGCTTCTTAAAGAGAAACTAACTGGTCTGTGAGAGCCGGAATTGGTAGGTGATCAAATTCTTAGGTCATGCGATAAAATGCAAATTAATTACTTAAAAATTATACAATGTGATTTTCTGGATTTTTTTTTAGATTCCGTCACTCACAGTTGAAGAGTACTTGTATGATAAGTACTCTTCAGTAAGTGTGTATGATAACAATGACAGACTTCTACATGCTTTGTAAGTGGGAAAACACTTGTTACGGTGATTGTTCTTTACATTTTATCCATCATTTCTGCAGTGCACACCGCTTTTGATATTACGTGATAAAATATTGATGCTTTTCTCTTTTCTACCATTTTTATGAGCAAAACCTTCATTTTGCTATTATCTAGAATGTCTTGATATATATTATACACAAACAATAGTTCCAATAGTTTTGTTAAATTAAACCCATTCAGTTTTTATTTGCATTGTGTCAGCATACAATTTCATTTGTTCCATTGTTATGATAATTTCTTCCCCCTTGTCATTGTTGTTTTGTCTTTTGTCCATCCCTTTCTGTTTACCTTTCAGTTTACATGTTTGTTGTCATTGTTTTTTTTGTTGCGTATATGACAGATGCCCCCACCACACCATCACCATCCACAACCTCCCCTGCACCCACCCTCCCAGACACTCCAGGTCCCTTAGACTCCAAGAATCTCAATTCTGCCGTCACCGGTAACAGAGGTACTGTACAACCCCACTGCCCTTCCTCCTCATCCTCCTCCTCACGCACTTTCCTCTCCATCTCTTTATCTCTCTTTTTTCTGCCCATGCCGGTTTCCTCTGACTCGAGTCTGCAGCTCCAAGGACATCTGGAGAGAAGTGTTTTTGTACCCTGCAGTCACTCTGCACCTCTGTGTGTCCTCGCTTAGTTCATATCTCTTCCATTCACCATTCACCATTCAACTGTGTTCTAACTATGATTTCTAGCATCTCAACTTTGACAGTTTGAGTCCTTTGTGTGTCTTTATCTTTTTTCAACCCATCTTATTCAAGGTATGAATCAAAAAAATAATACAAAATGCATCATTGTTTATTCATGCTAGTGTCGTTTCAAACTTGTATGCTGTTATTTTTCTCCATTAAACACAAAAGGAGGATTTAAGAATCTTTACAGAAATTCCCCTTTGCTAAGGCTCTTAAAAAAAGTTGTTTAGACACCAGTACATCTAAGCCTGGTTTCACCTTGGTAAAGCAAAATACCAATCCGGACTTGATGCTTACTTTTTTCCCAAAAAACACATGCACTCTCAGAAAAAAGGTAGAAAAGCCATCACTGGGGCTGTACCTTTTCAAAAGGGAAAACTTTTGTACTAATATACATTTTAGGTGATAATATGTACATTTTAGGGGCTAATATGGGCATTAAGGCGCTAATATGTACATTTTAGGTGTTAATATGTACATTTTAGGTGCTAATATGAACCATTAAGGTACCAATATGCACCCTTTAGGTACTTTTGAAAAGGTACAGCCCAGTGACAGCTTTTGTACTTTATTTTCTTACTTTTTTCCCAAAAAGCACATGCACTCTCAGAAAAAAAGGTACTGTACAAAAGCCGTCACTGGGACTGTACCTTTTCAAAAGGGAAAACTTTTGTCCATGTTAGGTACTAATATGTACATTTTAGGTGCTAATATGTATATTTTAGGTGCTAATATGTACCATTAAGGTACCAATATACACCCTTTAGGTACTTTTGAAAAGGTACAGCCCCAGTGACAGCTTTTGTACCTTTTTTCCTGAGAGTGGTGAAAAGTTTAAACATTTAGGAGAGCAATTAAAAACTTTAGGCAAGTAGAAAATACAGTAATTATCAAACAGAATAATAGTTATAAACACATACTAGAACAATACTATAAAATCTATATACTATGTTAAATAATGTTTTGCCCGCTGTTCAATCAAAAAGATAAAATATGCTCTCTTACAGCAATCTAGCACATAATACAATACAAACACCATAAACATTGTAAACATTGTCATAATTCATCAGCAGTAGATCCCAAGCAGTCTATTGGCATAGCCACATGGAATGAATTGCTTTTAACTGCTCTAAGACTGTAGAATGCATTTTGATTTGAAACATACAGTCCTACTGCTCGCATTTATTTGATGAAATCATAGCCTTTTGAAGTTTAATCACATTAGGCCGTGAATCATGATTCACGTTTTTTTCATTCCCAAATTTAAGCCCTCTTAAAGTAATAATTCAGACGTTTGATACCATTTACAATATTTAAGACTTTTTTTATGACATGCGGAGACTTTTGCACGCATGCACCTAAATACATTTTACAGTTTGCACACATCTATTTTTAGTCGCAAATGCGAGTTTTGAACCTTGCCACTGGTTCTTACATGTCGTATATCACAATGTCAAACAGCATATGGGTTTGGGACAAGTTTTGGGGGTGAGAAAATGGTCACCTTAAATATCCTCTACCCTGGTGTGTATGCATCTTTAGAGGATCTGGACAACAGTTCCCATCAGTTAAGTACAGACAGCAAGCCTGGAGGCATATACCATGTGGCATAAGTGTTCTTTAGCTCCTAGCCGTGAATGTCTGGTCTCAGGGGTATCAGGGTCTGTTTTGTTTCTTGTTTATGAGTGCTTCAGCTAAGTATATACACTGTGATTTATAAGGCGAAAATACAAAATTCACAATCCCCATGGACTCTCCAAAGGGTCGTTTGAATGTCTACCTATTTTTGTGCCACTTGTGAGGGGTACAGCCCTGTTGGTGCAACTTTGAGGGAAGTGTTTGCACAAAAACAAAATGGCTGTGTTTGTATTGTATCAACCTTTCCGTTCTTCAAAGTGGCTTTCTTGTTTAAATTTGATGATTACTTGAACTAAATATGGAATTTTGTAGAAGATTAATGTTTGTCCAAGTTATATGCCAGGTTATGCTGGAATTATCCTTTAACTGCATTGTGTTTACAACCAGAGTCAACCAGAATGCAATCAGCGATTTGTTAAAAAAAACCACACATGCCTTTCGTCGAAGCAATTGTTTTCTCTGAGCTTGTAATGCTGAACGTCTGCAGTGTTAACAGATCTGATTTCTCTAAATGCATTAGCAGCTCATTCTCCTGCCTGCGATCAATGGGGGCGTACCAGCGGCGAATTTCTGGCCTCATCGTTCTGCCAGGCTTAATGGGAATAATAACTCTTCCTCAAAGAAACACAGGGCCCTGACGATGCCATCAGTGCGCCTCCCGTCCCTGTTAAATCTGCCAAATGCGTTTTTATGGCTTGCAAATTAGCTCTGACCTTATGAAGCTGAAAGGTTGAATAAAGTACTAGGGATGCTGAGAATTTTAAAATATTTACAGCTCACTTTTCATAATCAGCATGAAAGCGCCCTGCCGTAGACCCCTGCGCTATTATTGTCCCGCCGAGACACTTTTACAGGGAAAAAGATTGGTCATGCCTTTTGTCTTTGGACAGGGAGAGGAAAGTGCAGAAATTTATCTGTTTTAGGGAGGGACTGGGTTTAGGTTCATTAGCCAAGGCCAGAAATGAAAGGGAGGACAACAAAGTGCAGCAGTTTTGCAAAATTATTACAAAACTTTTTTAAACTTGTCCAGCGTCTGCCAAGAATTATCCGGCTTAATTGGATTTAACTCCAGGACATAAACAGAGAAGGGTCTATGGTGGAAGTAGTGAAGTTTTTGATGCTTTGAAATATGTTGGCTTGGGGAAAAAAACCCAATTGTTTCGAATTATGTCCTATTATTTCTGCTGTAGGTTACTGTGGATTCCTCCAAGACCCTTTGTCAAAAGAGACACGTTATACATGGAAACGACTAGCTTCCTGCAAGGAGTATTTCAGTGTGGAGTGGAACATTTGTTTCTTGGAGCGTTGACCAGAAGCCTAGCAATTACTCAACATGGCCACACCGCAGGAGCATTATGGGCCGATGTGGGCCTGTCAGTTGTGGCCTGGATACTGCCTCGTTCATGGGCTGTAGTCCCAGTAAGAAGCAAACAAATGAGCAATCCTCAGAGAATCATTTGCCAGTTCTAACACTTTGTTCCTGGTCTGCAAGCAACACATGCCGCCTTGGAAAGCTTTGTTCATCCAATTATTTCTTTATGAGAAGTCTCGAGCCATGTTTTAGATTCTTGAGTTATCATGTGAACACTTAGAGCTACGTATGTGTGAATCACAAGACGAGGGTTATCACGATTCAGTGCATTTAAAAGTACAGAGGGGCCCTGATGATTTAAGACTTTTTATGGATTGACAGTAAAAATGTTGCATGGTACAACCTTAAAGGGGTCATATAATGCCATTCTTGTACAAATTAATATGAATCTTTACGGTCTAAATGAAAACTTTGTAATATACTTTTATTAAAAATTATCATTTGTATTGTTATGTCTCCCCATTAATAGGTCTAGAACTAATAGGGAAAGTAACATATAAGTATTACATTTAGTTAAATAAAAAGAAAAGAAAATGGGTTCAGTTACTTATAACTTGTGTTGAGATGAATCAGACAGAGACAGATTTCGTTGAATGCTTTTTAGCAGGCCATAGTAATAATATGATGGTTTTACAGTTACAAAATGAAGAAATAATTATTTACTTAATATACAAATGATAATACAAAACCTAGAACACAGGAATACATGAAAAATATACATGAAAATAAACAATTCTCCAGCAACGAATCAGCATCTAAATAACAAACATAAATAATGAGGTTGCACCTAAGAACAAGAAGTCTTTTAAATTTATGAGTGCAATGTAGGTTTGCAAATATCAACAGTTTGGTTAAATGTTTTCCTGAAATTTGAATGAATTTTGCCAGATAATCTCAAAAATGTTCCCGTAATAATAAGCACAAAAAAATCATTTTATGATTGTGTGATCATAACTGTTAGCGTACACATCCAGGGGTGCAGCAACAATCTGAAATGTAGGAGGGACACATTATAAAATTTATCAGCTTTGCTCATGAATATTAATTAGGTGACTTAACATTTGTCCTTGCTAAATAGCAGGTAAGCCTCTTACAGAGAGGCTTTTCTTGGTCTTAAAGTCTTTAAATTGTAGGTGGTTTTGCAATTGCAATATTCCTTCTTGGCACAGCAGCAAAACTCTTCCCAAAAAGTGGAGGAGGCACACTTTGAAATATTTAAAAGCATTATAATATTTGCAGTGCTCCTGGGTACAATCCATCTCTTCAGTTTCACACACATTACTTATCCTGTCTCAATTGATGATAATCATTACAAACAATTATTTTAGAGACATATATCCAGAAAACGAATCCCGAATAGGGTTTTAGAAGTGTAGAGTGAGGATTTCATCTTGGAAATCATTCATCCTGCTGCTTATTCTCAATAGAAGGATTAAAATGATTTTAAAATTCATATCAATGAACATCTTAGAATTATTGATTTGAACTCCAAGAAAGGTGTATTCTAGGATGAAAAAGCTTTTCCTCAGAGGGGCTGCCAGAGAACACCAGCAAAAAAAAAAAAAAAAAAAAAAAAACGTCTCTGTTTAAATAGCTAAGTCAAAGTTTTAGAGGTTTCAGCTGCCATGTCCCTGGAGGGTCAGTTAAATATTGAGACTAGACTCCTGAGCGCCCTCCTTTCTCTCCTTTCTGAAAATGATGCAACACAGGAGGAATTAAAATGTAATGCAAAGGTTTTTTTTCCTCG